TTGCCTTTACCTTTTGAAATTGATTTCTAGTGAGATTTCCCTGTTATGGAGACGTCCACTTTGTAAAATACAATTAATTCCACAAAAACACCATCATGAATTAGAGAGAGAAACTACTTGAAATTTTATATTTTAGATAGAGAATTTGTCTTCAAATTTTAGAGCAATAAACTATTCTTGATTTTAAGATTTAGAGGGAGAAAATACTTTAAATTTTTTTGAGAAATTATTTCAAAATATTATTAGGGAGAGAAACTAATTCAAAATTTAAGTATTTTTTTTAAAATTTTTTTTAGAGAAAAACTATATCAAATTTTATAGAGAGAAGTACCAAAAACCAATAGAGAGAACCTACCTCAAGAATTTTAGAAAGAGAAACTATTTCAAATTTTAAGTGTTAGAGAGAGAAGATATTTTAAAAAATTTCGAGAGAAAATAACTCAAATTTTTTATAGAGAGAAACTCTCAAATTTTAGATCAAGAAATTAAGGAGGCAGTTTTTTGTCATGGGAGAGATAGAGCCCCGGGACCTGATGGTTTTCCCTTAGCCTTCTTTCAAACATTTGGATATCTCCTAAAAGACGACTTGATTCAATTGTTGGAGTAATTCTATTGGATAGGTAGAATTAATGTGGCAATGAATTTTACCTTCATTGCCCTTATTCCAAAGAAAAAGGTAATAGAAGATGTGTAAGACATCTGCCCCATTAGCTTATTAGGTAGTCTTTATAAAATCATTGCAAAGATATTTGCCAATAGATTACAAAGGTGATCCACTTGGTTATTTGAGATCCTCAATCTGCTTTCCTAAAATATAAACAAATTATGGATAGCATTCTAGTAGCTAAAGAATGTATTCATTTCAGGATCAAAGAAAAAAAACCAGGTCTTCTTTGTAAGATAGATTTTGAAAAAGCCTATGATAAGGTGGATTAGGACGTGCTTTAAAGTATCATGGGAAGCATGGATTTTAGATAGAGATAGAGTATACGGATTAAGGGTTGTCTTTCATCTTCTCGCTTCTCAATGCTCATGAATGGTAAGACAACTGGTTTCTTTAGGAGTTCTGGGGGCCTCAGACAAGGAGATCCCCTATCACTTTTCTTGTATACATTGGTGGCAGAAAGTTTCAGTGTTATCCTAAGAGATGTATTTTCACATGATCTTATTTTAGGCATTGAGGTTGGGAACAATGGTATGCTTATATCACACTTACAGTTTGCAGATGGTACCATAAATTTTTGCGATCCAAATGCAATGGAAATCAGTAGATTAAGGATATTTCTAAAGAGTGTTGAAATTGCAACTGGGTTGAAAGTAAATATCTCTAAACAAAGTTGATCAGAATTGGATGTCCTCAAAACATAGTGTCAAGGATGGCTGGAGTACTAGGATGTGGTGTTGAGAAGATTCCTTGCAATTATTTGAGTATCCCTTTGGTGGATTTGAGGCCCTCAAAATCTATTTAGGATCCAGTGGGAGAGAGATTCAATAAGAAATTATATTTGTGGAAGGCAAAGACTTTGTCTTTAGGAGGTCGATATACACTTATCAAATCTACTCTATCTAACCTTCTGGTCTACTATATGTTTTTATTTTGATTGCCTACGCAGATTGTTAGCATTCTAGAGAGGCTTATGAGGAACGTTTTGTGGGGAGATGATGAAAAAAAAGAAAGGGCTTCATTAGGTTAGTTGAGCTACGGTGTGCGCACCTATAAAAGATGGTGGTTTGGGATTTCATAAATTGAAAAACATGAACTTTGCATTACTCTTAAAATGGTGGCGACGAGCACATATCCACCAAGAGTTATTTTGGGTAGAAATTTTGAAAGAAAAATATGGGATCGAGAAGGTTTATGGTATTATACAAAGTCCAAGGAACAAAGCCACTCTTTACCATATTTGAAGGGGATTGACCTTGAGAGACCTATATATCTTCGTCATTTTCAAAAAGTAGTGGGTAATGAGGAATCTAAACTTTTCTGATACGATAAATGGTTTGATGACTACCCTCTTATATACCTTTTCCCTGAGGTGTTCTCTTAAGTCTCAAACCCACTAGCTACGGTAAAAGAGGCTAGTGGGGATGCTCATACGAACATTGTTTGGTCTATTCATTCAGGCAGAGAAGAATGACCAATAATTTTATCCATGAGTGTCAAACCTTGTTGGACATGTTAAACAATGCCCAGCTTTTCCATATTCTACATGATGATGTGATTTGGGACCTTACTACCTCAGGTGATTTTTTGATTAAGTCTGCATATGTTCATATCTTCTACAATCGATATAAATAGCACGATTCAGTACTTTCCTAAATAAAGAAACTTCATTTTCCACTTAAAGTTCAGTTGTTTGTATGGATATTTTGTAAAGAAAAGCTGGCCATTGTGGATAACTTAATGAAGAGAGGGTTCATTATACCCAATGTCTGCCTTTTGTGCAAAGCTAGTGACTGATACGACATACATTTATTCCTCTACTGCCCTTTTATTTATGATCTTTGGAATTGGGTTCGACAATGTTTGAACTTATCCATTCCAATTCCAAAAGTTTGTAGACTGCTTATCACTCAATGGTCATTCCCTGGTATTCCAAAGGTGGATAATATATTTTAGCATTCTTTCTGGGTAAGTGTCCTTTGGGGTATGTGGAAGGAGAGAAATCAAAGAGTGTTTGAACGAATCTCTACTGATTTTTCTATGTTAAAATCTAACATTTTAGCCTCAACAATAGATTGGTTTACCTCCCACAAAGATAGTGGCTCTACACCAAAGAGTCTTATCATTAACTACCCCTTAGCAGTCGCGAAATCTAGCCGAAAAGCTATTGTTTGGTCCCCATCTCCTCTGTACTCAATCAAATTGAACTTTGATGACAATAGCTTTGTAAATCTAGGAGCAGTTGGATATGGTGTGTTGATTAGAAATCATTTGGGTCATGTTTTTTGCTCATAATTAGGTCCGTGTGGTATTGCTACTGCAGATAAAGCGTAGGCTAGAGGTCTCCTGGAGGGTTTGAAACTTCTTTCACGGTGGGAAGGGCAAACAATTATTGAAGGAGATTCGACAAATGTCATAGCTTGGAGCTATGAAGAATTCAATGTTCCATCGAGCTTTAAAGTTTTATTTCATGAGATTAGGAACATCTTTTCTTCGATCAATGCCAATTTGTATGTTTTGTATTTTGTAGCTCTTTTAATGGAAATGTTGTGTTAATGTTGAAAAGAAAAAAAATCAAAATTTAAGTAGTAATAAGAGAAACCATGACAAATTTTTAGAGAGATAAACTATCTCAACTACTAAGTTTTATATAGAGAAAGAACCTGAAAATTATTGAGAGAGAGAAACTATCTGAAAGTATAATTTTTATAAAGAGAAAGTACCAAAAAACTATAGAGAGGGAAACTATCTCAAATTTTAAGTTTTATAAAGAGAAAGTATTTAGAAATTATAGAGAGAGAAACTATCTCAAAATTTTTTGGGAGAGAAGCTATTTCATATTTTAAGTCTTAGAGAGAGAAACTATATAATATTTTAAGTTCTAGAGAGATAAAGTACTTAATTTTTTTTAAGAGACTATCCTAAATCTTAAGTTTTAGAGAGAGAGAGAGAGAGGCCCTAGAAATATTTAGGGAGAGAAACTATTTTAAAATATTTAGACTGATAAACTACCTCAAATTTTAAGTTTTAGAGAGATAAATTTTTAAGTTTTAGAGAGATAAGTTTTAGTGGAGCACTGCCCTACTAACGAAAAAGCTAAAAAAAATAATAATTCAAACTGATGATTCCATCATCAGACCAAAAGGTAATTTTGAAAAAATTAAGAAAAAGTATGCTAACGGAGTAATATCAATCAGTCACTTTGAAATATCACCCTCAAGCACGGGCTGCAGGAACTTCTTAAAATGCCCAATTATTATGGTAATTAATTAGCTTTTAGCAGACCGAGAAACGCAAATTACAGTCTAAAAACCTAAGGTCAAAACCAAATTTTCGAGCCCCAATACATACTCTACCCAGAGGCACAAAGATAGTCTCAACCTAGTGGAAAACCCAATGCCATGGTCGAGCCGGTGCTTTTGTTTGCCTAATGAAACCCACAAAAAAGAGTACCCGGCCTTCAAAATCCACTTGACTATATCGTACTAATCCTAGACACTCAGCCCATATGATGCAATCGAGGGTGGAACAAATATACTTCAATGACAGAACTGCGCCTAGTGAAACATTCTTGGAGTCATTGGGGGATAACGCATATCTACATTTTGATGAGAAACTGATAGGTGTTAAATTATATTCATAGGGAAAAAGTTCCAACCAAAACTGGTTTGAAAAACACTGAGAAAACTTGGCTAACCACCACGAAAACTCGCGTGAGCAGAGTTTTGCCTCTTTAAGCAAATAGGCGTCAAGTGTTCAATAAAAAATGGGGGTTTATATAGGCTTGAAATTCAATTTTCATCTATAGTCTGTAGACACAGTGGAGCTGGTGAGATTGGCTGAAACAGTACGTACGTATCAGAGATAATCAAAAGTTCAAAGTGGGCGGTGTAAGGCCATGATGATTGTGGCAAATCGCAGCATCGTCGCAAATACCATGGCAAACATTTTTTTGGCATTCTGATTGTTTACCCTGAACTTTATTTCCAAAATTTGAATTTAAATCATTCAAACTTGTCATAATTCACTGAAAAGCAAAATGATTTATCCAAATAATCGTTTGCGTTGAATAGACACAAGATAACTTGCTTAAACACCTAGTATCTCTCCTTCCAAGTTGCTTTTAGTCCTGTTTTAAGTTTCAACAAGACAAAAACACGCTGTTCGTACTTCCTATCATCTAGTTTTAAGTTTTGTTAAACTTTTTCCCCAAGCGAATCGATATCCTAGGATTGCAACCGCTTACTTGCTCTAAATTAAGTGGCCCAACCAAAACATCCAAAAAAAAAAAGAAAAAAATAAAAGGACAAGCGCATGGATAGGTCCTGGAGTTTACCTCAATCTGGTCTCCCACGTGCACAACAAGGGCATGGGGGGTACAGGTTTATCTTCGTCTCCAAGGACATCACCTCACCACCCAATGCTTCTTTCAAAGCCCCTGCTTCCAGTCCCAACCCCACTGACAGAGCCTCCAGAACCCCCTCCGCAACCCTTTTCATTTCTTCCCCGTACTCCTCTGTCACTTCCCTGAATACAATCACAACAAACACAATCAACCTTTTCCTACCTTTTAATTAAAAGCACCAAAAGTAAGTTTTTTTATTGTGACTTGGTTCTCCTTTTGATTCTATTCAGATGCCTACCTGTAATTCGGGGGGCTTTTGGGCCATTTGTCGTAATTGACTCTCGATGTTGGCCACATGAAATGGAAGAAGTAGTCGATCCACTTCAGTTTCTGGTCTGGATTCTTCGCAAGCTTGGTACCATACCCTTCGAAGACGCCGCCAGCAAAGTAATTGGCATATTGCTCTTTGTACTCTTGGGGGAGACTGAAGAATCCTTCACCACAAATCCAGGGGTGGATTTTCGGCCTTAGAAGTGAGATTCTGGCTACGTACCTGGGGAGTTCCTTTTTTCTAATGTTTTTGTATTATTTGTAGAATTTTGAAAGCATGGATGCAAAGTTTTAAGTTAGGTGTTTTAAAAGAGGTGTGTGCTGCACCCCTTAGGGTGCATGGGCATGTGCACACATGGGTGACCCTGGTGCTTGCTAGGATAAGGGTGGGCATTGCGGTGGAGCAGTTTGAACCAACAAAAGAAATGTGTGAGATAAGGCTTACCTCGCCAGGATGGAGTCGGATGCACTCAGGCGGGTTTCCCTATTAGATTAAGATGCCTTGAAGTGCATGCGAAAATCCCCCAGGCCTTTGGTCGGCATGGTTCGGAATAGACATCTTCACAATCCTTAGGTTGGTGCTCCCTTGGAAGCTACGACCCTTGGGCTTTGTCTCTTGGCTTGGAAAAGTTGTGCTTGGATGAGATTTGGTGGCCATAATAGGTGGATTCTTAGACTAGACTAAGGTTGGTTAAGTTAGGCTAGTAAGGACAAGGTTGGAGCATGCTAGACTAGACTAGGGTTGGGGCATGCTAGGCTAGCCTAGGTTGGGTGAGCCAGACTAAGTTGAGTAGGCTGGGTAGGTTGGTAGGCTAGGCTAGCCTAGCCTAAGGTGTTAAAGGGCACTCAATAATCCACCGGACATCTGGGGTCACCTCCCCTAGGAGGCAATATCGATACCACGAGCAAAAGGTAATAGGCATGAGCAGTGTTTCGAAAAGCGCTAGGTGGCACCTAGGCGGTCGGGGGGGTCTAGGCCGCCCAGTGCCTAGGCGACGCTCAGAACCCCGACAGCCTAGTAAATGTTTTTTTGTTTTTGGGTTTTCTCTCTCTAAAATAGCCTCTAATGGGTTTTTAGACTTCAAATGAACTTAAAACCCACAAAGTTTCTTCTTTAGTATTAAAAAAATGACCCAAAAATACCTTAAGGAGCAGTATTTCTGCCCCTAGGCGGGGTGCAGGCCCTGGACGGGTGCCTAGGCGGGTTCAAGTGGGCGCCTAGGTTGGTTCCCGGGAGCCTAGGCGGGCGCCCTGGGATATCCGTCTAGTTTAGCTACTTAGGCCTGGGCGATGCACCCTGGCCTTCTAGACTGTATAGGTGTTGGGCGACCTGCTTTTTAAAACTATGTGCATGGAGCCTACGTAATCCCAGAGACTTGTCAAGGGTGCGGGTCACAGCCCCACCCCTACCCCCTGCCACACACGCTGCAGGACGATAGGGTGCAGGACTGTGACCACATGTGACGAATGCCACTCAGGTGGTAGTGTTCTCAACGCTTTGAAAAGATGGAAATCAAAGCCAATCACGAATTAAAAACCAAATTAATAAGCACACAACCCACAAAATACTAGACAATCCCAATCTCAAAATTTCATAAGATAGATCCAAAATATTACAAAAGAGTCCAAGGCACCAAAGGCCCAACAATAATACATATATCCAATACTAGCAGACTATATGGCCAAAATGCGATCCATCACATACAATTGAAAAGTGACTTCCACAAGAATTACGGGACTTCGACCCCCAGCCGTGATCACCAAACTGCAAGTCCACAACCTGCGGCTATCACTCTACAGAGATGAAAGTTAAAGGGATGAGCTGTAAAGCCCAATAAGAAGATCATGGTGCCATGCTTTCATGCTTATGAATATCATCTCACAACAATGCTCAAGATGCTATGCCGTTCTTATAAAACATGAGTCGTGTGTCATAATCATATCTATCAGTGTGCCGTGCATGATTCATAGTGAAGCAATAACAAATCAGATCAATCATATATGATAAGAACCATAGGTCAATCAAATCATTCAACCATACAAATCTTAGCAAATCAATATATTAAGGTAAGCATCAACAATTACCAAGTATCTCATTCCTTAATTCGCCTACTCCCAAAGTAGAAGCTCTATCCATCACGCCAAGCCAATCCCATTACTTAGGACTTCTATCATCACTTAGAATGGAAAACAATGACAAATGGGGGATTCCATTTCGTCATGTTTTCACATACATACGTATAAACACACACAGTCCCCAGCGCACTTTGGGGCTTTTGATAGGCAATGACCTTGTAAGACACTACCCTTTACGCCACCTTAGCTAGGACTAATACACTTTTTGCGTGCCAATCACTATTAATGGGGGAGCGACCACTCAAACATCATCTACCCTAACCCTCGTCCTTTCATTGGGCGAGCGGAAGAGGTCACTAGTTGGGGTCTGATTTTCTCTGGTTCCCTCGCGCGTGGACACAGGGAGAAGAACCTCTCTCAAACAACCGCCGAAGGGTTGCACGCGTGGCGCGATAGCTTTCTAAAGCACGGATAGGCTACAAACAAAGAGAGAGATTTTACGACGGGGAAGGGTTGATTCACTTACCTCGTCATTGTAGGTTCATTGCACACGTCTAGGCAACTTGCCCTCTTAGATCAGTTACGAAAGCCCTCTGGCTGTTCACAAGCGCGGTTTAGTCAGGGACTCTCTTCAAACGCTACTACCCTCTTCTCTCCTCTCAAGTCTAAGTTCAGATGGATGTCTCAATTCTTCGTGCCAGGGTTGACTTCTATTTTTGTTGATCGAACAAAAGAGTGGGGAGTTTTATCATTCCCATCGTGGTGTCCAAACGAGGAAGGGGGATTAGACATGGACGGGCGTCGGTTTGGACCTCTTCTGGCTTGCTCGGACCCACGTAGTCTCGGATGTGTGGGAGATTACGCAGGTGGGAGAAAAAGAGAGAAAGCTTCGGAAGCTATAAACGTTTTCAGGAAGATAAAAGTGTGTGCCAACATGGTCGAAGTATTTTCCTCTCTTGCAAGAGTTTTCTCTCTCCTCTCCTTGGGACGTTAGGGCTAAGAGAAAAGAAAAGAAGAATCAAGCGTAATGCCTCTTCTTTATTGAATTGTCCTCCCTTTTACAATTGACTTAAGCCTGTTTATATAGAGTTTTCTACAAACAGGGGTGGTTACTAAAAAACAAAGCCTAAATACAAATAAAAGTTATTAAAATAATGTCCTGAAATTGGTTACAATAACCAAAATGCCCTTAAGCTCTTTTACACATATGACATACTTGTCCTTCTCTGAGGAGCCCACCGCCATTGTCAAAACCTTAAGTGCTCTTACCGGGAATTTGTAGCATCAGTTTGGTTGATCTTTTGTTGTATTCTTGTCGTTTGTTTCCTTGTGATCGTTTTGATGTCTTTTGATCGTGTTACGACAATCCTTTTTGTGCGGAAAGGAGCCTGGTCAGTTTTGTGGGTTCTTTTGACAACTTCTTTCTTCTTGATTTGCAGCATCTCAGCGATTCTGGGAAAGGTTTTCTTCAAATGGTCTTCTTTGCAAAAGGTTTTTAATCTGTTTTTTGTTTTTCTTGGGCTTTTGGTGGACCGTCGGAAAAGGGATTTTCGACGATGGCGATTTCCTTGCTTTTATTGTCATGACCTTGGGTTTCGTTGCTTTTTTTTTTTTTGCTTTGAATGGTGCTGGTCCTGTCTTGGCTTGAGTTTTTCTTCCTGGAAGTGTTTCTTCTTTAGTTTTTTATCAGCCGAATTTCTCTTCTGTGAGGGTCAAGATATCCTTCTGAAGACTATGGAATTCTTGGATTCAGGCTATTTTTTCCTTCTTTTTCGTTGAGGAGACTTGTCTTCTTCATGTTGTTCGTCTAGAGAGAGAAATGTCGTTGAAGCTCCATGGGCATCTGGGGCCTTGGCTTCTTTTCTACTGCAGGGAAGGAGTTGCGAGCTCACCGAGGAGCGGCCAGAGATCGCCATGACTGTTAACTGTTCAGTGAGGCAATATGGCGGAAGGCGTACCTCTACCCTACTTCGCGATCGTTCTGGCGTAGGGCCACTGGGTCGATCCGTTTGAGCGGGGGCCCACTTCCTTTTTTCTTAAAGATGATGATGGTTGCTCGGCGTGCCTATCCGGCTCCTGTACACATGGTGGCGGGGATAAGGCTTTTACTCTTATTCGTGTAGGCATCTTTTTCTTTGGTCATCCTTATTCGAGGTTTATTTCTTCCACAGCTACTGTGTTCTGCGCGGCTATGTCTTGTATGCTACAGTGACCGGGTTGTAGCCAGCTCTCTTCCTTTATTTGATTGAGGGGCTGAGGTGCGTCAAAAATGACGTATAACTACTTACCCCAACGGATGTTACACTTCGATAGAGGTGAGAAGTGCAACTTTTGGAAAGAAGTGGTTTTTGACGTCGAACCTCATCATTTTAGAATCCTTGCCAAGACGTTTTGGAGGCCTGTGCCTTTGGATAGATGGCAGAAGAGCCCTTAGCAGGTGCATGAGCTGCTTCGTTGGAGTTTTGGGGATGGTTTTTGGTTGGTCAGGGATACCTCTTTCTTGTTCCCATCCTATCGGGTCTAGTTGGGGGCTTTTGTGTGGCTTGTCCCGAATAGTCTGAACTAGTTGATAGGAAGGGTTTCCGAGGCGGTCTCTTTGGCGAGACTTCACCATGAGTTTTTGACGGGTGTTGTGTTCCTCTTGGCTTGACAGTCATGTGCCTTCGGTGGCGTCGTCAACTTGCCGGCGCGACTTTTTTTCTTTCCTAGTTTCTTCTTTCTTCTTTTGGACCTTGTTTTAGGGTGGCACTAGGCCTCAGGTCTTCTTCTGGGGGCGCTAAGGTCGGAATTTTTTTTTGTGAGGGGTGGAACTGAGGTCGGAATTTTGTCTTTTGGGGTAGCGCTGAGACTGAAACTTTGTTTGGAGGATGGCGTTGTGGCCGTAATTGTGTTTTGAGGGTGACGTTGTGGCCGTATTTTGTTTTGAGGGTGGCGATGTGGCTAGATTTTTGTTTTACGAGGTGGCGCTATGGTCGGAATTTTGTTTTAAGGGGTGGTGTCACGACCTCGGGCCCTGGCCCCTGCAGGAGGAAGAAAGATAGCGGGATCATGAGCAGAGGTTGCAAACGTCACTCAGGTAGGAGTTACTCAACCGATAAAAACACGGAATCGAGAGCAAATCAAGAAAAAAAAACTAGAATAAATCCATTCAACAGACAAGATAAAATCAAAGCTACATCCATCTCAATCATATCTGAAGATGGCAAATAACTTACAGTTATTTCATTATTTCCAATAATATCATAAATATAATGATAATCAATTTCAATGTGCTTACCCTTGGAACTATAAGCTCCATTGCTAATTGATGAAATAGTAGCCTGATTATCACAAATAACAGGTCCGTCGGATATATCCTGCTTCAAATCATTTATGAAGCATTTAATCCAGACGACATAAGTTGTAGCAATATTACAAGCAATATACTCGGTTTCCATAGTATACCGAGCTACACAACATTGTTTCTTACTAGACCAAGAAACACATCCACCTTCAAAGAGGAATAAAATTCCTGAGGTTGATTTTCTATCATCTAGGTCTCCTGCAAAATCTGCATCAGAGTACCCATTAACTTCTAAGTTGTCTTCTTGGAAGCACAACTTGTAATTTTTAGTTTTTTAATGTATCTGAGTATAATTTCTACAGCTTGCCAATGAGCCATCCCAGGATTTCTCTGAAATCTACTTACAAGACCACATGCATGACTCAAATCAGGTCTTGTACACAACATGGAACAATTTATGCATTCTACAGCTTGAGCATATGGAATTCTTTCCATTTCAGCTTTGTATGAATGCATTTTCTTTGATAATTTCAAGCCTTTACAAACAGGTGTATCTATGGGCTTGCGATTTTCCATCTTAAATCTTTTTAAAACACTTTCTAAATAATTTTCTTGAGATAAACATAGAAGTCTTGAACTTCTATCTCTTGTTATCATAATGGCCAATGTATATGAGGTTTCTCCCATATCTTTCATCTCAAAATGAGAACTTAGCCATG